GGCAGTGAAGGACAGGAAGGCCTGGCGCGATATGGTTCATGGGATCATGAAGAGTCGGACATGACTTAACGACTGAAGAACAACAACAGTCATTAATAAAAAATGTTGAAGAACATTAGCCCCAGGACAGGACTTTGAGGTATCCCACTAAATACCTATCACCATGTAGACACAGATCCATTAAGGACCACATGTTGGGACTGGTTCTTTAGGGAACCATCTGGTAGTGGGGCCATTCATTCCAGTCTGTTCCATTTTATCAAGAAGGAGGCTATGATCAACTTTATCAAATGCCTTACTGAAGTTTAGGTACACTACATTCACAGCACTCCCTTGGTCTAATCACTTTATAAAAAAAAAAAAAAGGCAAAGCAGTAAAATTAGTCATGTTAGCATCCTTCAAGTATTGGGAAGGCTAAGATAGGTTGGAATTATTTAGAGTTGTTCCAAAAGACAGGACAAGTAACAAATTGTTTAAATTAATCAGAATGTATTTGGTCATCAGGAAAACATTCCAAACAACATGGTCAAACATTGTTGAACAGTAAGACACAACAACCCTGTGGTTGGACTGAGAGACAGTGACTGGCCCAAAATCAACCAGTCAGTTTCTGAGGCTGAGGATGGACTTGAACCTAGCTTGCCCTTGCTCCTAGTCTAACAACTTAATCACTACACTACACTAATGGCTATCTGTTGGGGATGCAGTATTAGTGGATTCCTGCACTAGCCAGGGGGTTGATCTGCAAGATAGCTTCCAATCTTTAATGTTGTTATAATGCTATGATTTCCTTTCCCCCAAAAGTCAAGAAGAATGCTTCTATAAATGAAAGTATTATTCTGTAAATTGCATTCTACATTATTGTTCTAGATTATTATTCATTACATAATGAGATGCTAAAGATGGTACAGAAATGTTGCTGCACTTATGTGGTATTTCCATGGAATGGTTCTAAACATTTGGCAGTATTTTCATTTTATCATTAACTTCTCATTATTCCTGTTGTGAACATTCTACTGTTCATAAAATTAAAACTGTTTGTTAGATTCATGAAATTTGGTAAGCAGGCTAAGTCTGTAATATGTTGTTTTAGATGCAGCCAGAATCCATTCACCACGCAAGAACAACTTGCTGTATATAGAAAGATCAGCAGCAACATGTTAAATGGCTGCAGTGGTGTAAGAATTTTTTTGTGGCTATTTGTTGAAATGATCATTATGTCCAAGTCTTGTGAGCAAAGCATCTTGCTAATAATGCCTCAAAATCCAGCTTATATAAATCATCAACAACAAATATATTCCAACATCAGTGCCTTTGATCCTGAATCAGGCAATGGAAGATGTGATAAGGAATCAGCTATATTCATTTTTCCAGAAATGTGTTGAACAAAAAAATCATAAAGTTGCAATCTCTGAGATGCTGGATGCAATGTGACAAAATGGTGGTTGTAAGCGTTTGAAGCATATGTATGAGTAGTTTGGTAATCCTAACAGATAAAAATTAAAATGTTTTTCTATCTTCCAGAAAAGAGAGGTTGGCAGGTCCAATGAACTTCTTTAATCTATCCTCCTGAGTCTATAACAAGATGACACTAAATACAACTGGAGTGGCATCAGCCTCCACAAATGATGGAGCACTCAGATTATAAACCAGACAAAATTCCTTAGTTAATGCATCTTTCAGTTGCTGAAGTCCAATTAGTTGCTACAGATCAATGCCAAGGGACTCTTTTTCTAGTTTCAGTGATAAGGTTCTGATACCAAGTCTATCTGCTAAAAACCTTTGGTGCCGCCTAATTTAGCAAACATCCATGCACTTTGCTCAGATTAAAACAAAGATGGATTTCATTAGTATCTTGTTTTTGATACAAAATGTTGTATACCCAAACTGGATTTTCATCCATTCTCCAACATGTTGTCTAATTCACAGCTTCTACCATGGCATGTGGTATATATTTCCAGTTCTGTGCAACAGATACAATGGATTCTTCCATTGTAACTTTTTGAGAATATTCAGTAATTCATCTAAGCCCTTTAAACCAGAAGCTGAAGTTCACAGTCTCCTTTCTGAAGAATATGAAAATCAAAGGTAGTTTTTTGGCCAAATAGTGGTTCTAGATTTCCTTTGAAAACATATGCAAAACATGTTCCAAACAAATTGTGTTGTAAAGTAACTCAAACACAAGTGGATGGGACAGACCATAGGAAATAAACAAAACAAAAAAACCTTTATGTTCGCAACAACTTTAACTCCTTAGATGAAAATACTGCATAATAAAGTTTGCTGTAAATACATTTCAATGTAACACTCAGTATCAGTATTGTTTATCAAAATAATGATGCATTTTGAATCAGACCTGTGCAAAGCCCACCCCACCCCCAGCCACAACTGTCACCTGCTCTTTAGCTGTGAGTTCAAAAGGACCCCCAAGTTGCACACCAGTCTTGAATGGGGAAGTGCAGCCCCATCCAAGACCAACAATGGTAACATCCCTGACCCCGGATGTGGGAAGAGAGGGACAAACAACCACAGCCACTCGGTCTTGTCAGGATTGAGCTGGTCTGCCACACCTGAATAGCCTCCAGACACTGGGGTTATACAGGTAGTTCCTCACTTAATGATGCTAATTGGGACCGGAATTTCCATTGGTAAGCGATGCGGTTATAAATCATGACATGATGTGACCTCATTGTTTAGCGACGGCAATCCTGACAGTCCTTGTTGCCGTCATTAAGCAAGGGTTGTGGGTTGTTAGGCAAGTGTGGCTGGGTGGGGGGTGGATGCTGCAGTGGGTGGGAGGGTGTGCAGGTGGTTGCTGCAGCCCAGTGTGAGCTTGACCAGGTGAGGAATGGGTGCTGCAGAAGGTGGGAGTGCGGGAAAGTGGTGGAAGTGGGAGTGACTTACAGGAGCAACCAGCAACCTTCCCTGCCAGCTTTCTCATTGACTTTGCTTGTGGGAAGCTGGTGGGCAAGGTTGCAAATGGTGAACATGTGACCACAAGATGCTGCAACCATTTTAAGTGTGAGCCAGTTGCTAAGCACTCAGATTGTGATCACGGGATTGCGGGGGTGCTGGGACAGCTGGAACTTTGAGGACCAGTCCTAAGTACTGCTTTTTCAGTGCCATCAAAACTTCAAATGGTCACTGAATGAGTGGCTGTTAACCACTTGTTACTCACTGTTAACTGTTGACCATCAACAGCCTCACCTGTGCAGCTCAGGGTTGAGATGTAAAGCTGGGTATCATAAGCATACTGTTGATACCCTGAACTGGGGAATGACCTCATCCAGTGGTTTCATGTAGATGTTAAACAGGAGATGGGAAAGCCCTGAGGCACCCACATGAGGTGCCATGGATGCAATCTCTCCCCCCATCAACACTGACTGGAACCAACCACTGAGGAAGGTTGTGAACCACTAGAGCACAGTACCTCCCACTCCTACCCCTGCAGCTGATCCAGAAGGATACTGTGGTTGATGGTATTAAAGCTGGTGAGAGATCAAGGAGCACTAGGATGGATACACCACCCCCATCCCGGCTCTGCCAAAGGTCATCAACAAGCATGACCAGCATACTGTACTCCGGTCTGAAACCAGACTGAAACTGGTCCAGATAATCAATTTCCTCCAAGATCTTCTGAAGCTGTTGTCTGATCACCTTTTCCACAAGCTTCCCAAAATGGGAAGATTGGAAACTGGCTCATAATTATCCAACAGGGATAATTCAAAACTATTCAAAATTAAGCCCAATACATGGGTTTTTAAATAAAATATGTATAAAGTTTCAGCTTCAAAAAATAAAATCAGAGCCCAATAGTGACATGTCAGAAACCCATTTTATAATGCAGATTTGCAATTTCAAAGCAAGTTTGTTCTTATAGAATTATATGATCATCCAGTTAATCCAAGAAGAATTCAGGATAAAAGTTTTTCCTATGACTATTTTTTAAAAATAATGCCAAGTGTCAGTGAAATCCTATAAATTTACTTCTTCTGTTATCATCTCATCAAGAATGCATCAACATTTAGATGAATCAATTATTTGAAGTAATTTACCTGCAAATTAATTTGAAATACCTAATGAATCGGAAATTGCTCCTATCTTTCCAAAGAGCTTAATGTGAGACTTCACCACAAATACCTATTTCATGCGAAAAAACAATCAGCAACTTCTCTAGATTTCTGATATACTGAATATTTCAGTTTCCAGAGAGGTAGTCATGTTAGTGGGCTGCAAAGTCAACAAAGAATCTCACTGCACTGTAAAGACTAATTTTTTTATAGCACTAGAGTTTATGGATCACTATCCACTTTATCAGCAATAATAATTTTCTGTATAAAAAAGAAAGAAAAATGATGTATTTTTCTTGGACAACAGTATGAAAGTGACTTGCCATTGACTTCTTTCAGGATTTTTCAATTCAAAACCCTGCTAATTCCTAGTGGTTCCCATCTAAGTACTAACTAGGCCCAACTCTGCTTAGCTTTTTGAAATCAACCAAGGATGACAAGATGTATTGGTTTTTATGTTTCTGTGTTCCTTTTACAATATTTTAGTGACCACTAGATCCTAATAACCTAAAATGTTCAATTAAAAAATGACAGACAATGAAGAATAGAGGACCTGGATTGCACTTGGTCTCATTTGTGAAGCATATTATCTCACTCGTTATTGCAATGAAATCCACTTTATCTGCATACCTACCTCTTTCTGACGGTATTTAATTGCCAGTTTTAATCTAGCCAAATCATTTCCACTCTGCTCTTCTATTAGACTGTTATCATCTCTGTAGTTAAGAATAATTTCCAATTCTCTTGAACTTCGAGTCTGATCCAACAGATCTTTTGCAAACTGCTTGCACTGTTGTGACAATTCTTCATATTCAGATTTAAACTCATTTTCCACTTTGCTCAGTTCTTGAAGTTCCCAACTTAACTGGAAAGCTGTAAGAAATGGATCCTCACTTGATAGAGCAATTAAAGATGGGCTTGCAAGAGCTTTGTAGATATTTAGTCTGGATCGGGAATGGCGAAGGCTATCCACATCTGAGCTGGAGACACACTCCACACAGTTACAGCGAACTTCATGTGGTCTGGGAACAGACACACCTTTCTGGACTAAAAGTTTTACGATCTCATAATTGTTTGTATGGGCAGCCAGGATAATGGGCGTTATATCTGGTGTAAATTCGGAGAACTGTTTGTCCAGTAGAATGGGTGGTACCTGTGGGGGGTGGGAAAGGAATACAATCATATTGGATAATCTTATACACAGCTGAATGGCAATGACCAATCACATTAGGTAATTTCATATGAGTCATATGAAGTCTATTCACACACACACCCACACATATTCATTCATTCATTCATTCATTCATTCATTCATTCATTCATTCATATATATTCACTTATTCATGAATATTCATATATTCAATATATATTCAAGTCTATTGAGAATACATTAGAATTCATTGACTTGGATAGATTTAACAAAAAGTCTGCAAATAAATCAAGTAAATTCATTAAAGAATTAAAGAAATAAACGACTCTTACAAAGTGTCTCTATTTTGTATGTTGTTGTTGTTTAGTCGTTAAGTCGTGTCCGACTCTTCGTGACCCCATGAACCAT